GATCGTAGAAGGGTGAAAATTTAGGATTGTATGTATTTTTGTACGTTGTATCATAAAAAAATAGTAATTAAAAATTTTGTCTAAAAAATAAAAATAAAAAATTTAGGGGTGGACTACCCCTAACATTTAGGGGGATGAAAAATAGATGTTGGCCGATTCTCTAAGCTACCGAATAAGCACAAAAAATTTCATCAAAATCGGTCAGGTTGTTTCGGAGGAGTATGGGCACGAAAACTGTGACACGAGAATTTTATATATTAGATATCATACTAAGAGCATAAGAAATACAACAGAGAGTAATGAGGTCTAAAACTTTCGCGAGTTTTATTCATTTCAATGAAACTAATATTTTTATCAGATGTTGACATCACGTTTGCTGAAAAGTGATCGAAACGTCGGGAGTATGTAGTTTTAAAGAAATAAAGCACGAGTAGTATATCCGAAAATTTTTAGTTTCATTTTAACAAAAGAGACTTGTTGGAGATTTTAAAAAGTGCATCTTGTAAGGAAAATATTACTTATTTATTTGTTTAAACATTGCAATAGGTTTTCGTTGTTGGAGTTTTTGAATGTTTAAACTAACAGCTGCGGTTACTTATAACTGGGGGATTAATGTCGAACAAAATACGTGACTCAAATAAAAGGTATCAATATACAGGAACTACAAATAAAATTCATGCTATAGATAAATGTGACCAAAACACGCACTCGTAGGAAAGAATTCATCCAGGTGTCTTAAATGACATCCTTTCCCAATAGAATAATGAGACATAAATGATAGATGATATATTTTTAAAACATCACTTTTAAATTCTCAAAATTGAAAAACCAATTAGAGATAAAACAAGAAACGAGAACCAGACTCTGGACACTCAGAGACGAACGGAAGCTGAGATGTTACGAAGATACACATGAGATGAAGATCACGAGATAACGGACTGGAGATAGATCTAGAGACATGGCCCGCGGCAATCAGTTATCACCTTTAACAGAGAACAGATAAAGGTCACATTACGGCAACCGATATAATTGATGTTGCATAAAAGGCTATTAAATATCAAATATCAACCTTACGCCCAAAACATTACGACTACCAAGGCTTTGACCCGACGAGCTGTTTTGTATTCTATAACAATATATATAAGGTTGAATATCGCGTGATATTAATATGTATTAAGATCGACACAGCGAGACATACAGCGTTTAATAAATTGATTACAGTCGAGATGTGACCTGCCTCGAGTAATAAATATTAACATTAGGAGCTATGATGAGGCTTTGACCACTGAGGAGATCTGGTACTGAGACCGGTCACTGTATGAGGACCCTCGCGGCGGGTGGACTTGAGAGAAGTTAATTAAAACTTGATTGACCTCCATACTATTAGTAATATATTAGTTTAATGTTATTGAAGAGATTTCTCTTAATTTATTTCAACTAAAATTCAAATTTACTAAGCATTTATAACTGTTTTATTTCATGTATGTACGTCTCATTAGTCAGTTAACTCCGTACGCCTATACAATACACGGCTATCTGTAACACACGAACAAACAGACTGACGTGTACCGATACTATGTTAAACTAATTGGATAGAGATTGTATCTTATAGAGAATATAAAAACTATTTGTGTAATATATATTTGTGTAGTTTTCATGAGCCATTTAGTACTCGCGACACGAGACGTATCAAGCTCACAATCACAGTCGAAGGTCTCAGTATATAAATCAGCATCATTAATCGTGACAGGTTGTACAATAACTCGCTCGCTCCACTTACTGGACTACATGCATCTGTCTTCAGAAGACGACCTTCGACAGGCGACTGGCGAGTAGCGAGTAGCGAGTAGACTGAAACACGCGGCTTATACAACGAACCATTGGTCGCTGTGAGGAGATACACGACCAATCACACACAGACACACTGACACACATACTGATAAGGTAATAGATAACACTCAGTCACCCCGCGCTTTTAATGTATATTGTTAGAGGCTTGACTTAACAACCACAACTAACAGAGCTAAAGATACGAACTGAAGTGACATACGATAACTATGTAACATTACTCATTCATAATTGGTTGTCAACAAGATATATGACGGTCAGGCGAAGTTATATAATTATATATTAAAAAACGATTATTCTATAAGGACTGTAATTAAAATCTGATTAGCAATTTAAATTAGGTCATGCTGGCCTAGTGGTTAAAGGCCGTCTATCTTACATGAGGGCGCGGGTTCGAAACCGGGCAAGTATCAATGTGATTTTCCCGAGTCCTATGTACTTTATAAGAATATTTAGACACCACTCACTGACGGTGAAGGAAAACATCGTGAGGAAACGTGGACTTATTATACCAAATTATAAGTTTGAAATCACCAACCCGTCTTGAGCAAGCGTAGTGATTAAAACTCAAACCTTCTCCATGTGAGAAGAGGCTTTTGCTCAGTGGGCTCTGATAGGCTGATGATGATAGCAATTTAAACGATTTGACGTACATTCATATCATGTATAGTATTTATAATATAAAAAATGAATTTCACGTGTGATTGGTTGAGATGAATCTGTCCCGAAATTAACAAGGAAGTTACAAAATGAGAGGAAAGTTAAAATAAACAAAAAATTAAAGATTCTGTAAGTAAGGAGCGACGAGCAGCTCCTGGTTGATATTTGAGTGACGGCTGACTGGAGTCATCGTGGAGTAAATAATGTATGAGGATCACTCATTAATAATACGAGAAAAACACGAGGGAAGAGTTGTCGTGACGGACCCACAATGAATACAGACACATTAGACGCACTCTGGAACATGAGAAGATTAAATTGAAACAGACAGTACCCAGGTATAACATAAACAAAAACTTCGGGAGTGACGTGACGTACGAATAGTATGAACTATACTGAATAAACTATATTATGCTTACTGTAAGTCGGAGTAGGCACACTACAGACGGAGCGTACACAGTTTGTATTTAATAAACATAGTTTATTGAATGAAAAATTGATGACGCATCTTGTGTAGTATCACGCAGACGTTAGGTAAGCATATTGTACATAATTACAATGATACGATGTAAATATACTTCAAACAGAACATATTAAATCTCAGTAAAAAAATTAATCCCTACTAATATTATAAATGCAAAAGTAACTCTATCTGTCTGTCTGTTACGCTTTCACGCTTAAACCACTGAACTGATTTTAATGAAATTTGATACAGAGATAGAGTTGATCTTGAGAAAGAACATAGAATAGTTTTTATCACAGATTTTTAAAAGGTTCTCTTGGAAACGCGATATAACCAAACTCCTCGCGGGCGAAGCTGCGGGCGGAAAGCTAATAAAATATAAAATAAGCTTAAAAATCTTCAACTTTAAAAGAAATCTGAATTTAAAATAAAGTATTAATCGGTGTTATTTATCAGACTTAATTGAGCACACATTCAATAACTATTACGAGAGAAATAGTTCTAATATATTATGTATGGGCGTGATGTTGTATGTATGTAATATATATTAAATCACAGTTCAATGTTAATTATAATGATATACATATAATTATGTCCCAACCTCGTCGCGGTTAATGAGTGAGTCGTGACTACCATCGATCAACACTGAAATGTCACACTACACGTACGAAACACAGACAGATACGGGATTTATAACATGTATATTAATATAAAGGAAAGTTAAGACTGAACTTACAAAATAATCTCTGAATAATCAAGTAAAGTCTGATGATAAAAACTATGATTAGAGGATTTTTGTGAAAGTATCAGCTTTTATTTATTGCACATTTTTTTTTATATTTATGTATCCCAATTGGTTTAGGCCACTCCTCATCGTATGTCAAGAAATCTCGGAAAAAAAATATATTTTCTTACTATGGAAGTTCTTTAGAATACAGTATAATAATATATAAGAAAATAAATATTACTTCGGCCTCATTATTGTATTTTAAGTTTTTCACTGGGCATTAGCAAAAAACAATAACATGCACAAAATTTTCAAGAAAAATTAAAAATTATTATAATAAGTTTCAAAGCTATGTTAAATTTTTGTACTAATTTCAATCGCAGTACTTAAAGTTAATAGTCAGTCATTATTGATACAAATATTAATGTATGTTTTAAAAGCTGCTCATGCACTGTTTTACTATGTTTTATAATGACACGTAACAGCTAATGTATGAACATATACACAACGACGGAGATCGAAGTTATTGACGAAATAACTAGTAATGTGTTTAAAACACAAAGGATCATTTGAAAGATCAATAACCACGTTGCTAATTTAATGATAATTACTATAATAATAAAACCTTCTTAATAGTATGTGATGTAGTTATTTGATCATATTAATATAATTATATGTCGAGTTTAGTAAACTCACACACGACTGTCAGTGAGTCAACATAAATATGACTTTCACTTATAACTAACACGTTCAATATATAATATGATGTTTTGACTATCATATATTATTATGGTTTATATAATTTTAAATCTATTTTCTTTATATATTATTATCGTTATAGAAACTCAAGATGTGATCACGCTTCGATATTAAATAAGTTAAAGTATTCAATTGAACCTACTGAGCGTATAAGTTTTCAAGGTCCTTACATTCAACACAACTTTCTTCAAAATTAATATAAACAGTTTATTCAATGAATAGGTCGTGGTGGCCTAGTGGTTAAAAGGCCCGCCTCTCGTACATGAGAGCGCGGGTTCGATCCTGGCAAGTACAATGTGATTTTTCCGAGTCACATGTACTTTGTAAGATTATTTAGACACCACTGACTAATAAAGAAAAACATCGTGAGGAAACCTGGACTTATATCAAATTGTAAGTCTGAAATCACCAACCCGTCTTGAGCGAGCGTGGTTAATGCTCAAACCTTCTCCATGTGAGAAGAGGCTTAGCAGTTGGCTCTGATAGGCTGATGATGATGATTCAACGTATATGTTTAATGTAACCTACTACTAGTATACTCACGTCATCCTGGAAGGTCCTGTGCAGGCCGTCCTTGGTGTACCTCATGTCCCCTTGCTTCAGTATGGCCGCTATCTGTTTCACGAGCTGCACTCTGCTCCTCTCCCTCTGACTCTCCTCCTCCATACCCGACAGCCTGTGTCTCTTCCTCGGCTCCTCCAGCCCGTGTGTTTCCATCTTCTTCTCATGTTTCTCTATTATTCTCTGTATTTGTAAGTCCGTGTTATCTTTCAGTTGAACACTCTCTGATTGTGAACTCATCTTTCTGTTACGTTTTATAACATTTTATATATGTACACCTGTTGACAAATATTATATTTTATATAAATACATTTATTTATTAAATATGGTTACTAAAAGTTGGTTAAAAAGTCCCGTAATACAAAAGTGTGCTTATAAAATTTAATCATTTTGAAACTTTTACTTTTTTTTATTTTCTGTTCTTACATCTATACTAATATTATAAAGCTGAAGAGTTTGTTTGTTTGTTTGTTTGAAAGCGCTAATCTCCGAAAGTACTGGTTCGAATTGAATAATTCTTTTTCTGTTGGATAGTCCAGTTATCGAGAAAGGCTTTGGGCTATATAACATCACGCTACGACCAATAGGAGCAAAGATATAGTGGTAAATGTGTAAAAAACGGGAGAAATTATTTCATCTTCGAAGCCTTCCGTTGAGTGCGCTGTGAAAACGGTTCAAGATACACAAAAAATATGTTTTAAAGAATAATAGCTCTTTTAATGATCTAAAAAACAGTCTGCGACAGTATATGTCTATCTTTTAAGATTAACTCACAAAAACCGTTTTTATGGTACCTAATTTGGTCGAAATAATTTGTTTAAGTTGTATCAACATAATAATATTAATCTTTATTCAAATAAACAACTAAATATGTTGTTGGTTAAGAGTACTTCATTGTGAATATAAAAAACATAGGTTTTATTCTGAAAATTCTACGGGAACTCGACCATTCCGAAAACCCGGCAAGAACGGGAACTATGTAGGAAGAACCAAAAATCTGCCGGAAGTCACTATTCCACGCTGACGAAGTCGCGGCAAAAGCTAGTATATAATATTTATATTATTCCCATTAATATGACCGGTATCTGTCATTATGTTTGTACGAAAAGATTTTAGTGAAAATATGAAGCTTTTGACTCTTTAAAACATTTTAATAAAAATAAAATTAATCAATGAATTAATATCAGTCAATTAAACATCTGTCCAATACTTACTCACTAGACGGGGCGTCTCACGCAATTTGTATATTTATTTAATTTATTTTACTTAATTAATTAATGCATATTTAAACTATCAAGAAACATTTCTTTTATTACATGGATATACAAATAAATGTTTTAACGATTTAATTATAATGTTTAATTATATCAAGTTATAATAGAACAACTATTAATGAAATATAATTTATATTAGTCAATGTATAAACTTTCATTTCCTTGTATTCACATAGACTTATAACATTGTGTCCAGAAAACATCACAACTTAATGATGGAAAGACTGTAACAGTTCACGAAATATTTAAATTTTTTTATAATTATTATTAAAATTTTATAAGTACTGTAAGTATACACGTCAATTGTATAGCATTTATTGAATCACAAAAACTGTTCTAAGAACAATTATGTTTAAAACGCGTTCCTCAACATTTAATACCGACGGTAGTTTTTTAATTCTTAAATAATAGACAACAGTTACTAGTTATTAATAAAAAAAGTCATTATATTATAAGTATTTATTAAAACTACTGATCACCAACCACGTACATATATATGTTACAATAAAACATGTACTTTATAGAATAACATTATAATATAAGTCGTCTCATATATTTTTTAATATTCTACATCCCTCCGAGGTAAATTTTAACTGACTGTTTACCAGATCTATTAACTATTATCATTTCTTCCTCCATTTCTCATATGTTTCATCTGGTCAAAGTATATTTTTTTCATAAATATTTCTATTTCATTATAAATGCCACCAGAAAAATATTTCAAACATTTCACATAATCTACGTGAGTTAACTCACTAATATAAATCCATATTTTCAATAATAAATACTATATTTTGCTAGTTATTTCATAACAAATCCATAAATCACAATATTTCTACATACCCACATTACTTGTTCATTATAATATCATATTAATTGATTATAATCAATACAAAGTGATATTTCGAAGTCTATTTAATAAAACTATCATCAATAATTATAAGTTGATAATCTTTTAAACATATATTCGTCGAGCCCACAGCCGACACACAGTCTACCGAACATTCCTACAGCGAGCTACACTTTAACTTTTTATATATATATTGTATTTTAATTATGAAACTTACAATTCATTGAGTGTATCATTCAACATATATCTCTCACGGTTTTTAATTTAAACTTGTCCATAAAGATAACCTTTTTTATTTGTTTAATAAATATGACATGAATATCGTTTTAATGAATGAATGATTTTTTTAAAATATTTTTAATATTAATTTACCTGTTTATTATGATGAATACAACCAGTTCACTGTTCACACACGGACGGCTGTATGTGTTATATATATATAGAGACGAGCGGAGCCCGCGACACCGACTCATACACTGAACTAAACACAGCTGTAGGAACTGAGAAACAACTCATTATACATATCATAATAATATTATAATTATACTAAGGATTATATACAATATACAATGAAATTAGGACTATACAAAATGATTACGAATTATGTATCAGCTTTTAAGATGACTGTTGTACATATAATATTTAAATGAAACTAATATTTTACAGATATACTAGTCGTGCTTTATTATTGCTAAAATAAATGTATTCACATCTTGTCTTAATGATCACGGTAGCTGAAAAGTAACGGAAAGTCGGGAGTATGTAATTTTTTTTACAAAAAAGGCGAGAGACGGAACTTCTCATGATTCAATGTATTCACGGTGCGTGTGTCGGGTCCATCGTGGTAGTGAGAGGAGCTTCAACAGTGATTGGGACTTGTGACCCAGGTGTACGAGTATATCAAAAAATATTAGTTTCATTTAAATGAATACTCGCGAAAGTCATATATCTCATTGTGTTGTATAGTAGTAGTATATGTATTATTTGTATATATTATATGATGAGTGTATGTCAGTATGCACGTCAATCTCCTCACCATATAATGATAGTGTCAGTCCGTCGATGCCGCTCGTGTTATAGACACATCTAATTATCAAATTAAACTGTCTACAGCTCGTGTGTTACAATATAATAAAATGTTTTAACAATGTATTACACGTTAAAAGAAACACATAATAATATAAATGAATACAGAAATAAAATATTTTAATGAAAAATACTGTTAATACTGTTAGAGTACTAATTAACATTGTAATTGTTTAATTGATATGAACATAATGTGAACATTTTGTTCAAGAGTATTATTGTTTATATTGACTTCTTATATTTTTGTTTTTTCAAATGTAACGTGAATTGTGTTTGTTTAAACCTACTAAAAGACTTAGGCTTGTCCAGAACTCACATTAATACATTCTTGGAACGTACATCGAAGGCAGCCCTAGTAGGTTCTTTTCAAATTTGGTTAGGTAGGGAGAGGAGCTTGTGCGGTGGAGGTGAGCGTATAACGCACGATAGATAGGGACCCCTTAAACCTACACCTGGGTCACAAGTCCCAGTCACTGTTGAAGCTCCTCTCACTACAACGATGGACCTGACACACGCACCGTGAATACATTGAATGAAGAGTAATTTCGTCTCAAGTCGTACCATTTAAAACTTCGGCTGTAGTATTACATTCCTATCTGTTAATCACGATAAAAATACTGCAATGATATATACGTCATTGTTACGAAAATAATAACTGAAAATAATAAAACACGTAAAAAAGAATTGACATGCTATAAACGTCATAAAAATATTTAGTTATTGAGAAAAATAATACTGGTCATGATGTAGTCTACTATATTATCTTAATACTGTATATAATACGACACTCTCTTCATTTACAAAATTGTTTTCATTTAATTGTACCTGCCACGTTCATTAATGCCTCCAATAAGATAACAATATAACTATTAATGAGGTCTAAGTGTTTCGCGAGTATTTTAAATGAAACTAATATTATTCGGATGTAGTACGTGTTGAGACGAGATGAGGATGTCTGCCCGTGATCACGGTTGCTGCAAAGTAACCGAAACGTCGGGAGTATGTAGTTTTAAAAATAATAAAATAATGCGTAATATTCGGACAAAATTAGTTTCATTTATGTAAATATAGCAATTATTAAAAGTACACATGCCTTTACATCTTTTTATTTGTGTTACTAAAGGCCTCAATAACACTATTTGGTTTTACTTATTGATACGCATATATGTTCAATACAATTCAATACAAGCGCTTACAAAATTAAACAGATTTTAATAGATTCATTTCCAAGTTTCTAATACTCATACTGTTCTTAATATATTTTTCATGTACATACAACAGAAGCATCAAACAAGTTATTTCTGTAATAAAAAGCACACAAAGTCGCGAGTCGTTACTATATCAGTATATATGAGTTATGTGTTTCTCATAAAATTAATCTTATTTCTTTTACATTCCACCTTGGTTTTGTTCTCAGCTGTAGTCGTTTTTCAAGTTTTCACTTTCAAGTTCTCGCGTCATTAAACAAAGAATTGGTGAAAAAATAAAAGCAACCAAAACTATTCGATAATAATGTGGTATTTCATAACATATGTAATTACATATATTTATTCTCGAACAATTAATCCCTACTAATATTATAAATGCGAAAGTAACTCTGTCTGTCTGTCTGTTACGCATTCACGTCTAAACCAATGAACTGATTTTAATGAAATTTGGTATACAGATAGAGTAGACCTTAAAAAAGAACATAGTATAGTTTTTAACCCAGACTTTTGAAAGGTTATCTTGGAAACGCGATATAACCGAACTCCACGCGGGCGAAGCTGCGGGCGGAAAGCTAGTAATATATATAATTACATATTTAAATTCTCGATCAATTTTTCGCCTTAAACTGTTGTAGCTATAATTATTTTGTTATAGTTGTACATATATGTACATGTATGTATCTGGTAACGGTCGTGAGTGTGGAGTAATCGTGTTCTTTAATTATAAAACATTTCATTGACCTCATTCATTAGTGAAGTGAATTCAATATTAATTATGTATCGATGTAACACCTCACAAGCTCTGGGTTCAGTTGTTGTCTATATTTTGACGACTTAATAATCACTAGCAAAAATAAATATAAGCAAAATAACAACATTAATGATTGAGTGTGATGAAGACGGTCAGCTGTCAGACACACGGCAATAGAGAGATAATTATGATTCACTCATTGAGAGATGATTTATATAAATAAAATGTTCAAAAGAAATATTATGAAACACTTCATAAGACACGACTTGTACTAAACAATGCTTCAAATGGAGTTCTTCTGTTGATGGTACTTATCGCCACGGTAGTCAGGTAACATAGATTTAGAAAAACAAATTGCATCATGATAGACAAGTATTAAAGATAATTATTTGTGAGCCTTATAATGGAATAAACAAGAGAATGTTTCCTCTGATGGTTACTCATCACTTTCCTTAACGGACATTATAATTATCATTTTTTAAAGAGACGTTCGTACTTTCTGACTTTTAATGGATTCCATACAGGAGTTTTCCGGAGCAACCTCTATGTAACATTAACAGAAAACACTAGGAAACTGATGGGAAGGTATCCAGGTGCCATTGATAGCAAGTCTGCAAGGAAATAGGAATGCAAGGACGTGTATGAGATAACCTTCGTTTTATATATCGGATTTATTACAAATACGTTGTTTTTAAAGAGAAAGACGCCAGCCTCGCTGACGTTATTAATGTCACTTCTAGTACGTTCCATGATATTTTAAAATTAAACTTCAATTGTTCTAAATGCTCCTGTATTTGTTGAAGGTTCTTGATAATCACATACTTCAATGATACTCCCTCACTGAACTCTCAACACTACCGTCGTGCGTCCAGACGTCATATTTATACCAAGATTCAAACATAGTTCTATTCTCCTTTTAAACAATCTTTGATTTTGTTTTACTTTTAACAATAATCATAAATACTAATGAGGTTTAATAATAATTGATGACAGCCTCAAGTTATTTTCATGTCGCATCCGTTATTAAAGCTGATAGCGCCGATATACCTATATATTGTAGTGACAGTGACCATATCGTTATGATGAGCCTCCACCTCTGTTATTTAAGGACTGGTATAATTTCTAGGCTTTAACTCAAAACCGTACAAAATAAAATATATGTCACTACTTCCGGTCAGAAATTTCCAGCACTTATACTGGCCTTAAGAGTAACGTTCTATACGGTTACAAATCGTTTAAAATTTGAGTTTTTTATATATATATTGACTTTTATATTAACCGTTCACTTATCGTTCGAAGAAACTTTTGACGTAGTTCTTCTGGTAAATACCTGTAGGGAGGTAATGTATAAAACATAAAGCTCCTAGCAAAATTTAAGTTAGTACAGACGTTTGATTTTCTCATTTGTGGAATATATCTGGTAGCCATAATGATTTTGAGATGATGATGAAGAATCTTTTCCTTCTGTTCTCCTGACTGAATGTACGGCTTTTACTGTACACTACGGGACTTATACACCAGTATACCTATCAATAATATTCTGCTTTCAGTGTTATAAATCTGTTTAAATATTATCATATACTCAGTATCATGGAAATAATAATTCACCGGCACCTGGCCATATCCTAGATATTGTAAGTGTGTACGAACACATATATTTAAATCAAAAGAAAAATAGTCATAGATTAAGCACATCATATGATTATAAGATGGCACGTACTTGGCAAGGAATTGGTACAAATTAGAGTTTATTAAATATTTGTCTATAACAATTATTTTAGACAATACATTTTATATTGAATTATATCACATTTTCTAAATATGTATGTTTCTACTACGTAATAATTAATAAACTAATTTAGCAAAATCGTTATCAATTTATGTATTTAGTTTCTGTATTATAAACATTACTTCATTGAAGATTAATTACCTTAATTAATACTATAAAGCTTAAGATTTATTTGTTTGTTAGTTTTTTGTTTGTTTGTTTGAACGCACTAATCTCAGGAACTACTTGTTCAAATAAGAAAATTCTTTTTATAATTAATGCTAAGGAATACTATAGAATATATTTTACTGTAAAATTATTAGAGATCCGTAAGAAAATTTGATGTTCCTTCGGACAGAGTCGCTGTCAAAAGTTAGTATTTAATATTAATAAGCAAGTTTCCTCAAACTTAATATACTCTGTCAGTTACAGCATGTATTTCTATGTATATATAATATTTCAAGACTCTCTCTCTACCGATATATATCTATCAGTGTGTATTAATAATAGTTTTTACTCAACAACATATCTTTAATCTCTTGTGAGCATCATTTAAATACTGTAATTAATACTGAACAGAGATATATTTTATTAATTATGATATTTTTCAATGTACAATTATACTTGATGTTTATCAAAGATATATTATTTAACTCCTTGAAATAGATCTTTGGAGATAATATGTTATATCAAAAGTATAATACCGGCCATACACGCTACGGTCTAATAAGAGGTCCACCTGTGCAGATAGATCGGAATGTGTGTGAGTTTAGACCTGTGCAGTTTTTTTAATCTGCGCAGGCGACCGGTACAAGATCGAAAATCGATTCATTCGAGTAAAACCCTAGTATTGTCTAGTGTTTCTTGGCGCCACCAGAATCATCAAAAAAAATCCTTGAAGATTTAATCGAAATTTATAAAAGTATACCATGTCTTTGGCAAATTAAAAATAAGATTACAATAATCGAGACAAAAAAGAAGCTTTAAAGGTATATAGTAAACTAGCTTTCCGTCCGCAGCATCGCCCACGTGGAGTTCGGCTATATCGCGTTTCCAAGAGAACCTTTCAAAAATCTGGGATAAATCTGTCTTGTTCTTTCTCAAGGTCAACTCTATATCTGCACCTGTACTGCATTTAAATTTCTTTAAAATCAGTTCAGTGATTTAGGCGTGAAAGCGTAACAAACAGACAGAGTTACTTTCGCATTTATAATATTATAGTAGGGATTTGTAAATGATTTTTTTTGGTAAATAAACGATGAATTTGGAGTGATAGCATCTCAGTTACTTTTACATATAATGTTGATGAATAAACGTAATATTGTTGACAAAAATATTTCCTACATTTTGCGAAACGCCGAACTGATTGAGACTCGGCTGTACATGATCTGTACAATACTCTACGTTCAACATACACTCTCTGGTTTACTATATATTATACTTACCTATTCTTCTTAGTGATACACTGAACGTAAACTCTGTCCATGTATAAGAATCATAGTCTTGAATATAATATTTATATCACAATACATCTTTACCTCATCTTTAATATATTTATCTATCTTTTACTAAAAGGTAACATAGAAGAAATATCTCATAAGTTATGAAGTCTGCACGTCATTATTTTATTAAGTAATATTTTGTATTGACCTATCTTCATTTAACACATATTATGGGAAGATTTGAATTAACAATAACACAACACACATTGCTCCAACACTCGTTTATTTTATAACTAAATATAAATACATTTGTCCATTCAAAAATAAACAAATAAACATTTTATACACGTTATAATATACAACAATAAAACTTTAAACACTAGAATATAGTAAGCGAAGTAATATAAGTCTGATTTAAAAAACAAACTCTAAATGAAAGCTGTAGCTACGAGAATGAAATCAAACTAATTCTTCATTTTATTTGTTCTCCAGTCTAACTGCTCGTAAGGAATATAGCTGTTACTATGAAATCAAACTTGATCAAGAAGCATCCACTACATAAGAAGGTGTTTATTAATGTGTTAAATATGTTATTATTGTTATTCGAGGTCCCCAGTCTAACTCCTCGTAAGGAAGTCATTAGCGATATCTTTCCAGTTGGTACAGTCGTCTTCAGGGTCGGGTTTATTCTTCCTTATCTTCTTCAACAGTTCCCATCCGTTCGCCTTCTCCGTAGAGGACACGTATTTGTTCTCCGGCTCCTGTTCCCGAGTGTACGCACCCAGCACTAGGCTCTGGACCAGACGAGCTGATACCAACGTCTGTGATGGAAAAAATTTTATGAGATTTATATTATATAAAGAAGTTTGAATATTATGTGATGTTCGTGAATAAGATTAAAAACTTTGAGGAGTATTCATTTAAAAGAAACTAATATTTTCAGATTACTACGGGTTTCGGGTAAAGTACCCGCAACAATACATTGGTACTTGCCAGGTTTTGAACCCGCGCCCTCATGCATGAGAGACAGACCTTTTAACCTCTAGGCCTCCACGGCCTATTCATTGAATAAACTGTTTATATTGATTTTGAAGAAAGTTGTGTTGAACGTAAGGACCTTGAGAACTTATACGCTCAGTAGGTTCAATTGAATACTTAAAATGAACTTATTTAGACCCAGTTTCACCAATCAATGTTTGTTAAATCTAAACAAGGCCTTTACTAACAAGCCTTCAAAATTATAATTGTCTGTTAAAATATTTACGTTCCACGATGACAAATTAACATCGTATTATTAAATGTCATGTTAAATGACCGACTACCAAATTATTCGTTCTTGTTATAAGACGACCAAATGGAAACTATAGCGTTTAACACGACACTTTATATGTACTTTGATCGTATATATCCCTTTATACGTCACTTGTAAACTAATGCGACCAGATTTTATATATCGATGGTCGCATAAATTTGGCACACAAAAAGCTTTCTTTTCAATTTACTAGGTGTAACTTGTCAAAATCGTGTTGTCAATAAATTGTGGTATACATTATTGTGTTATAAATATGGGCATAAATTGTTTTCAAATTATAAGAAATAAAAAGAAAATTTAATTTGCAATGTCATAGAAAAGCTGGAAACAAAACCATCATAGGAAATGAAATTTTAATTCACTTTATTAATAAGTACAAGGAAATAGTCGAAACTGACAAAACAGATGACGTTACTATGGTTACAAGAAATGGGGGCTGTGATTGGACGATTGAGTTTAGACAATGCATTAACATTTTGTTAGCCATTAGATCGAACTCCAGAGCAGAAATTAATATCAGTGACTTATTAAGACATTTAAATGCATATTTGTGCGTGGTGGGACGCTAGATACATTTAACAGAGCATCAAACGCATTAACACGATGTTACTTATTTAACAATGATTGGTGAAACTGGGTCTTAACATTATGTATTGAACGTGTTAGTTATAAGTGAAAGTCATGTTTATGTTACTGACAGTCGTGTGGGAGTTTCCTATACTAGACGTATTATTATATTAAACTGATTTTTATTATTAGTTATGTATGTACCTTCAGTAGTCTGTACTTCTGGTCCGTGAGTCTCCTAGTGACGCTCCACCCGGCGAGCACCACCCCCCCGGCGCGTGGACCAGACACCAGCATGGCGTACGTCATACACACGGACAACTCGAACAACACACACGAGTGTTGGATGTCACCGAAGTCGAGGATACCGGAGATACGGTAGTCTGACTTACTGGAACGAACGGAACAAGGGATAGATGAGTTATATAGGGAAGAATATGGAGATACTCTTTATCTTCTATATATATAAAATGGATTGCTGTTCCTTAGTCTCGCTAAAACTCGAGAACAGCTGAACGGATTTATCTTATCTTAGTCTTGAAATGTTCGTGGAGGTTCAAGGAAGGTATAAAAGCTGAAAAAAATTGATTCATTACTGGGAAAACCATAAAAACAGCCCTTTTCTATTTCCCATACAAACGTTTTTTTTTGACATTAGATTTGACAACTAACTAATATGTCAATCATTCTGTCGCACTTCAAAATACGGAGATTTATGGCTTACAGGTAAACTCCAATAATATGTATAAATAAAAAAAACGTAATAGATATTTCTTGATTATAGGGCGATACGAAGTTCGCCAGGTCTTCTAGTAGTTAATATATACAGTATGCTATGTAACTTATAATGAAACTATGGGAGTTGAAGAAAATATTACTGGAACGAACGAACACAACTAGCGTGTAATGAGAGTTCTCTTTACAGTTAATATATATTTTTTTAACTTAGTAATGTCGTCTTTGATATAGATATGAGAAATAAAAGTTAGTGTAAAGTGTTTTTAATTATTTTACAAATTGATCAAGTGCATGATTCAAATGTGTTGAATTAAATTGTTATTCTGAAGTTATTTCATCCCTACTAATATTATAAATGAGAAAGTAACTCTGTCTGTCTGTTACGCTTTCACGCCTAAACCACTGAACTGATTTTAATGAAATTTGGTCCAGAGATAGGGTTGACCTCGAGATAGAACATAGAATAGTTTTTATCCCAGACTTTTGAAAGGTTCTCTTGGAAACGCGATATAACCGAACTCCACGCGGACGAAGTTGCGGACGGAAAGCTAGTAATATTATAAAACTAAGTGTTTTTCTAATTTTTTCTGTCTTCCAATTAAACATTACAAGCGTAATCAACGCATACATTTTGGTAACTTATGTCTCTTTTTTACTATGTAAGTAAGCGATCAGCTTCTCAGAATTAATTCGTGTTCTTCTTATATATAATACTAGTATTAATCCACGCCAGTGGCGCCACCTACCACCTTGTTCTTCCATATCTTACTGAACGTCTCCTTCGTCACCACTCCGTCACCACACAACACGTACGCCACACTCTCTACTTGCTCCACGAAGTCAAGTTGTTTATCTTCTCTGGAATTTAATATATTCGTTCAAAACTACGAAACAGTGTTCTAATATGAATAATAAGATATTTTTTTTTTAGTCACATATTCTTCATATATGAATGTACCAGAATAACGTTAGTTACGATTTTCATTATATCATTTATGTATGTCTGGTGTGTATATTGCCGTCATAGAAAGTGCTAAAACTATTTATAAGTACAATCAACAAATGTAAATATGTAGTTCTTAACATACCTAATTCCCATTTTTAAAATACAGTTTTCTTCAGCAGAATAAATAAGGCTGTGAGCTGACGTTGTGTCTAACCAACACTTATATAGAATATCTTTACACAGGTAACTCATGTATTTTATTTGTGTCATTATTATTATCAATATACTAACTGTAGTCTCTCCTTGAGTGATTCTATCCACTCCTCTTGAACGAGATGCTCCTCATCACAGAACAGACGGAAGATACGCTCCAACAAGTCCTGGAAATATATATACATAACAATTGATAAATATATCAATTTATATATATAGATTGTTTTGTGTAGAGGTGGCTTCAAATATAATTTTATTATGAAAAGTATTCTTATACCATATTACTGAAAAAACTCAACTTGTAATAGTGACTATTTAATAATATACTTTAATGATTTGTTTCATACTTTTTGTACATCATTTCAAACACGTTTTTATATACGACTCCCACATACGACTGAAAGTTTAAAATAATAACCTAGGTATACCGCAAATTATAAATTTTGTATGAGCTAATATTTATTTAATAAAACATACATAACCTATGTTCTTGTATATGTATACAATAATTAAAAATTCTTTGTACCTTCTTTCATCATCATCAGCCTATCAGAGCCCACTGCTGAGCAAAGGCCTCTTTCTCACATGGAGAAGGTTTGTGCATTAATCACCACGCTTGCTGAAGACGGGTTGGTGATAACAAACTTATAATTGTGAAACTATAAGCCCAGGTTTCCTCACGATGTTTTCCTTCACTGTATGTCAGTGATGTCTAAATACTCTCAGAAAGTACATAGGACTCCGAAAAATCACATTGGTACTTGCCAGGTTTGAACCCGCGCACTCGGCAACGAGAGGCGGGCCCCTTAACCACTAGGCCACCACTTACTTTATAATAATTAAATATACAAGTAAGATAACATTCCATTGAACCGATAAAATTATCGTAGCACGTGGGCGTGTGCTGTCAACGCGATCAGCTGTCATGTGACAGGTGTCAGTGACGTCACCGGCTGTCACCTGTCAAGTGTCAAGTGTCAAGTGTCGGGTGATGTGAGGGGGACACGACGCGTCTCATTAGAGCCGGACCCAGATCAGAGATTAACATGTCTCGATATAATGGAAGGCGGGCGACGAGTCGTGTTAATGAAGGATTACAAGACGCGGGAAAAAATAACACCACAGATTATAATAATGTGTGAGAGGTGACATTACTGTTTATACAGATTAAATATTAAGAATTAAATATTAAGATATATGTAGTTATGATGATTTATTTACAGATTGGAGGGAAATTAAGAGAAGAGTCTTTATAAGTACTATTGATGTTAATATTATCTTTAAAGTTAATTAACTTGTAATTTCATATTAAAATAGTATTAAACGAATCCTCATATATTGTATGACAGACGTTAACTTTGACGTTTAATTATAAACTCCAAGATATAAACAAGTTCCAAGGTCAAGAGGTATCCAGGTTTTGCATCAGTGTGATTTACAACGATCGTTATTTGGGAATAACTGAGTCAGGTCACAAAGCAAAGCTAAAGATAATTGTTATTTAGACTCATTATTTTCTATAAGACTAGTTGTGTGACTACTCGTTATACTTATAGTGTTTGTACAAAAGTATATCTTTATACATATACAGGGTGACTGGTGAATTACTATCGATATTTGAGGACGTGATATTTGACGATTATATATGACAAAATAAAAATTAATATAACATAAATATTAATAAACTTCTAAGTAAAGTTAACGAAAAGTTATGTAATTAATTACGCATCGTATGAACACCCTACAGATTAGGTATAGACACACACACACACACACTCGCGCGCGGCGGCGTGTTGTTGTATCAGCACGCCGCCGCACTCGTCCACACTTGGAACACTTGGAACGTGTACACACTTTATTTATTTATACGGAAATTTGGTCAAAAATTAAGTACCTATTTTTTTACATAATTCGATTGAGAATCATGTACCGAGTATGCTCCTTAAATATTGATAGTAATTCACCAGTCACCCTGTATAATTCTTCTGTGAGTGTGTATGTCACTGAACTTCTCTCAAACGACTGGACCGATTTTGATGAAATTTTTTGTGTGTTCAAGGGGATCTGGGAATGGTTAAGATTCACAATTTTGTCCGCTGGACTATTTTTTTTTAACAAATTTTTAATTTATCAGTAGTTGTCGATACAAACGTTTTTTTTAAACATTAGATTTGACAACAAACTAATTTGACAACTAACTAATATAACTTCAAAACACGGTGATTTATGGCTTTAATAGGTAAACTCTAAAAATATAAATAAAAAATGTAACAGATATTTCTTGATTTTACTGCAATAAGAAGTTCGCCGGGTCTTCTAGTTATGTATAAATGAAAGCCTTTTTATGGTCTTATTGTGGGTAAACGGCGGTCATTAAAAAACAGAAAAATCTATTAATGTATCAAATATCACCAATACTACATGAGTGAACTTATTTTAGGATTATAAAGGATTCCAAAATAGTTTTCATTGAGATCTCAATTTTCATATATTTCCTTTGGACGCGAGCGGAGACGAGTGCCTTCAACTGTATGTGAAGTCAAATTTTAAATTAAATATTCATATAAAAAACGTGTTCCTACAACCGTTAGCGTTCTTTCTATCCACAGTCACTTTAAATACATGTTTAATTTATATATTTTGTTTGTCTGTGTGTTGATCTTAACAGCGACTCTTCAATATATTTTATATAAAGTATATACTTAAATTATAAAGTCAAAAATACTTCTCGCTATTCAAATCTATCATATGCGTATCGATTATTTTAATTCTTAAAGTAATAATATTATCATTTTTAATACTAGCTGTTACACGCGGCTTTGTTTGTATAAATCCCCTTTTGAGATCATCCTCTTAAATTAGATATTTCGTAGATTTTAACAAATTTTGTCTTAGTGACGATGGTACCTCAGGACAATGACCTTTCAATAAAGAAAACCTAAAGATTAGGTCACAATAGTAAGAGTACAAGACTCAAGAGTAACAAGTAAGTAATATATAATCGTTATCAGAACTTTCTCCTTCAAGTTTGTTAAAGCAGCCGAATTTACTTCACACGACCTTGCCCTGCTTGTGAAAGTATAGTATAGAGTTTGATAAGTTTACTAAGTAAAAGTTATTAATGTGAATTTATTTTCTGTTTCTTAGGTAATAGTGTCTTTTAATTGAAACATTTCATAATAAACGCAACGTGTGATCTCATTTGTATGAGATATAATATATTGTATCTTGTTATAGTAACACAACATTAATTTGTACATATTACAACTATTTAATTATTTAAACAAGTCAATCGTTTGTTCTTACATATTTCCATATTTTATAATTGTAGTTTCAAAAAGTATCTAATAAGTCGAAGTTTAACTAATATTAACTAGTTATTGTAACATTATAGACACATTATCTAAGTTATATACAAATAGTATCATTGTATTAGGCGAAAGATATGAAAAATTTAACGAACCTCGAAATTTCGTTTTATAGATAAAATATAATTTAACGAGTGACGCCGCTGACTCCGCGGAACGAACACCAAGCGTGTAAACCAGAAGATTCCTGATACACACAAGCTATGGAATGGTATTGCTATCATAACATCGGGGCAATAATGTAGTCTTAGGTGTAGGTTATAAGTTTTAATATGTAGTTCTTATTATCATGTAAGTACATATAAGTAAGTTTCGTAGTTTCTCTTAAAGCTCTGTTCAATTAAGTATCTTCTATATATATAAAAATGGATTGCTGTTCCTTAGTCTCCCTAAAACTCGAGATCAGCTGGACGGATTTATCATATCTTAGTCTTGAAATGTTCGTGAAGGTTCAGGGAAGGTATAAAAGCTGAAAAAAATTGATTCATTACTGGGAAAACTATAAAAACAGCCCTTTTCTATTTCCCATACAAACGTTTTTTTTTGACATTAGATTTGACAACTAACTAATATGTCAATAATTCTGTCGCACACTTCAAAACACGGAGATTTATGGCTTACAGGTAAACTCGAAAAATATAAATAAAAAAACGTAATAGATATTTCTTGATTATAGGGCGATACGAAGTTCGCCAGGTCTTCTAGTACTAAATAAAACTCATTAATAAGCAATAATTTATGTAAGAGTACATACAAATAGTTTTGATGTTTGTAAGATATTTAAACCGTTTTCATTTACTGAAACAAGTATATATTATAATTGTAGCAAACTATTCTCATGGTCATGAATGATCAAACATTTAGTTTTCAATACGATGTACCAGAGAGCGTATCTACATATACATGTGTATGTCTGTCTGTGTCAGTAGATCTGTCTCACTGAAGGTGATCTACATTCATCTCGTGAATGTGTCGACCACCCACAGCGGATACAGCCTCCCGCCGGATACAGCCCACCTTACGTCCGGTTACATACATTACATTGAAAACATATTGCTTTAAAGAACTAAGTACATTAAAATAGGAATATATACATCTCAAACACAATATAATTATATTCTTACTAACATTAAGATCAGTTTGTCCTGTAAGAATTTCATCGTAACATTTATCTAATTATATATATTTTTTATATATATGTAATATTTAAAATATAAAAAAACGCGCTAGTCCTTAGTTACATTGAGACTTCTATTTTGTATGTTCTATTAATATTATTAATATCAGATGAAGAGATGTGATATTGAAGTGATAAATATGTATATTTAATGAACTGCAATAACTATTATTCAAAAATATTACTTATATACGGTGCTTTTCTATGTAACTAGAGGTTTCTGATAACAACGAAACTTACTTATATGTATATTATAACAAGAATTACATATTAAAACTTATAACCTACACCTAAGACTACATGATTGACCCGATGTTATGATAGCAATACCATTTCTAATGCTGTACCTACTATCAATATTCTAGTTAATGAAGCCAGGTGTTCGTTCCTCGGAGTCAGCAACAACACTAGTAATATGATATTTTATATATACAACGACGTTGCCCCGGCGATGTTCACTTAATTTAAAATATTATCATTAAATGTGTACAGATTTAAACCCTGTAGTAATCAATATTTCAACATTCAACCGATTCCAACTACAATTAATTTGTTTCTATTTAAGTTGTGTCCGGTTGTTCGTAATATTTATTATGTATATTAATGCTCTCGTCGTGTTGTG